TTCGATCCAAAGTTGTCCAAACTTTGGAGCCAAAGTTTTGAATCTTTGAGCGTGTTTAAAACGGCCCTTAGTCTTCAACCCCCAAACGGCGTGAGGAGAAAAAATAGTGACAGAGTCCAACAACGTCACGACGGTCATCCGAGGTATCTCAAAGTTCTATGGTACTCCTGCCAAGTACCTCGATTGGAAGCAGGTGATCAGCGCTACGCTGCAGCTGACACGCCCAGACCTCTACGAAATATTGGACGGGGCTCCGTGCCGGCAAGAAAGTTGTGAGAAAATTCCGCAAGGCGGCACGACTGCTGCTATCGGCAACGCAGTAGTAACAGTGCGAACCCCTCATCGCCGTGAGGCGGAGGCGCAAGAAGGCATCGACCAAGAACAAGGTCAACAGGGCCAAGGCGAAAAACAAGCCGAAGAAGAAGACAATCAAGATGAAGACCTGCAACAAGAGCTACGTACCACAGCTCAAGGAAGTCCTACACTCGACTTCGCGGTACAGTAGAGGTCCCTGTTTAACCAACAAGTCCCTGCCGCCAACACTGTTGCCCCCCACCCGTCACCACAGGATGGATGATGTAGTACGTGACTTCGGAACGGTTGCAACGCGAATCAGCATGTATGGGTTGGGCGAAGGGAGGGTGGCCCGTCTGCAAGAGAGTGCCTACTTGGGACACTACGACTTCTTGCACAAGATCCATTCGCTGGCGGTGAACCGGATGTGAGCACATGCCTTGACTAGATTCGAAATTGACTAGCAAGAAAGGCATTGGCGTCAGCAGGGAAGTGTTGGCACAAAAACAAATTGCTCTTGCCTCCTCCATGTGGCGTCAGTGGGGAGATCTTGGCAGAAGATAAGTTGTGCTTTTTTATGTGTTTTTTTCTCGTCTCTTTTCAGGTCTCAACAAAGTTTCAGGGAGACCGTCGATAGGCTCTATCGGTTCGACCAGCCCCAGGAGGTGTTGCAGCCGGCTGGATGCGGACCTGGAGGAGGTGCCGGAGTGGTGGGGGATCCCGTGCAACCCGTGCAACAAGAGGGGGAAAGCGAAGTGGCTGGAGCGGAGGAGGCACAGGACGCTGCCGGGGGCTCTGCCGGAGCGGAGGAGGAACAGGAAGGAATGGAGGAGGAGGGCGAGGGGGAGGAGACGGAGGTAGAACAGGACGCGGAGACGGAGGCTGAGGAGGATGCAGCCGTGGCGGAGGTGATGTCTACTGAGGAGTACGTCGTAAAAAACATGCCAGGAGGCGGCCTAAGATATTGTGGGGTGTTCAGACCGTCGAACTGGATCAGCACGAAAGTGTTTGAAAAGCCGAGGGAGGACTCGTGGACAGATTGCCCGATAGTGAAGTTCCGCCCAACAACACTGGATGACCTGAGCAACCCAGAGCTGAAAACCGCCTCCTACCCGCGTTGTCCCGGGCCATGTATCTACCACGAATTCAAAAAACCATATGCCGCGCTCAAGGTGGTGGGCGTGTGTTCCAAGGGCCACGTGTACAGGGTACCTGACAACGAAGTTGTGGCAACCCAAAAGTTCCCCCCCGGCTTCTCTGGCGCCATGTATGTGGAGGCGGTCAAAATTTTCTTCGAGAAGAGGGCAGCGGCAGCATCGACGAAGACAGCACCCGGCGTGAGATCAAAGGAAGCTAAAGCAACGAAAGCCGCAAAGAAAGCGGCAGCCAAAGCAGCACAGAAAGCGGCAGCCAACGCAGCACAGAAAGCGGCAGCAAAGTCAGCGGAGGCATCGAGAGCTAGAACAGCCAGAGCGGAGGCTAGAACGGAGGCATCCAAGGCTCCGCCGCCAACCCACGGCCTTGACAACAAGATGGTCGATGTGGGTGGAAACGAGGACCGTGCGGATGCCGATCAGGGAGGTGAGAGCACGGATGACGACATCCCCTACCAACGCGGCAAAGGCAAGGGCAAACGTGTGTTCGAGGACTCCGACGACGGGGAAGATGGCGACCACGTCAGCCCCTGCCAACGTGGCAAGGGCAAAGGGGAAAATAGTGTGAAGTACTTGGATGAATAAACAATCGTGATGACCTTGCCGACCAGTTCTTCACCTCCAAAATGGACGACACATTTCGTCACGTTTGGGTCGGGCCAAACTTGTTGGGCAGCCGAAAACATTTTCGTTTTTCAGAATTTATTTTTTGTTTTGCGTTTTGGGTCGATGCTCCAGCGCGCGCGGAGCGTTGAAGTCGAGACTTTTCTGCTCAAAACGGGCAGCACGTGACAGCTATTTACCCTGTGAACATCGCTTCAAAAACATCGCGCAGAAAAAGACTGGACTTGGCCAGTCGAGACTTTTGGTTTTCCTGCCTGAAATGTGCGAGCATGTTGGCCATTCGACGGGACGAAAATCAACCTTGTCGGATGAGAGCTGGTGGCTAGATCAGTGTCAAGTCCAGACTATCGATTGTGAATCTGATATGGGACACATGTTCGGGGCAAAATAGCGTCCGATGTAAGTATTCACACCTTTTTTTTCAAGTCGAGGCTTTTCATTTCGCGAAAGCCTGGTGCTATTTGTTGTGAACTCCCCTACAAGGCGACACCTCGGGCTTGAACTCCCCCTGACATATTTATACACCCCGGTTGAACTCGGGCTCGAACTCCCCTTGTCGCATGTAGTTGTCCACACGCTAAACTCTCCGCGTGGGTGGCTAACCCTACGCATCCGGGTTGGCACACACGGATCCCACCCCGAACACATGGCTCCTCCGATAACAAAAGCCTGGAGTCAAGCGTGACTTCACCGACAAAGTCGATCACACACGGATCCCACCCGCAACACATGGCTCCGCCGATGACAAAAGCTCAGAGTCATGAGTGACTTCACCGACAAAATCGACCACACACGGATCCTACGCTCCGAAGGATAACTCCTCCGACCACAAACGCCCGGAGTCATGAGTGACTTCACTTTGCCGACAAGTTCTTCACCTCCAAAATGGACGGCACGTTTCGTTATGTTTGGGAAGGGCCAAACTCTTGGGCCAGCCTAAAGCATTTTCGTTTTTCAAAATTTATTTTTTGTTTTCCGTTTGGAGTCGATGCTCCAGCGCGCGCGGAGCGGTCAAGTCGAGACTTTTCTACTCAAAACAGGCTACACGTGACAGCTGTTTACCCTGTGAACATCGCTCCAAAAACATCGCTCGAAAAAAGTCTGGACTTGGGCAAGTCGAGACTTTTGATTTTTCTGCCTGAGATGTGCGAGCATGTTGGGCATTCGACGGGGCGAAAATCAATCTTGTCGGATGAGGGCTGGTGGCTCGATCAGTGTCATGTCGAGACTTTCGATTATGCATCTTATATGGGACACATGTTCGGGGCAGAAGAGCCTCCGATGTACGTATTCACACCTTTTGTTGTCAAGTCGAGGCTTCTCATTTCGCGAAGCCTGGTGCTATTTGTTATGAACTCCCCTACAAGGCGACACCTCGGGCTTGAAGTCCCCCTGACATATTAATACACCCCGGTTGCTCCCCGTAGCTGAGAAGCCTTCTGTGCCGCATGTAATTGTCCACACGCTAAACTCTCCGCGTGGGTGGCTAACCCTACGCTTCCGGGTTAGCACACACGGATCCCACCCCGAACACGTAGCTCCGCCTATGACAAAAGCCCGGAGTCAAGCGTGACTTCACCGACAATTTCGATCACACACGGATCCTACACTCCGAAGGATAACTCCTCCGACCACAAACACCCAGAGTCATGAGTGACTTTACCGACAATTTCGATCACGGAGCCCATGACTTTGCCGACGAGTTCTTCACCTCCAAAATGGACGACACATTTCGTCATCTTCTGGACGGGCCAAACTTGTTGGCCAGCCGAAACATTCTCGTTTTTCAAAAAAAAAAATTGGTTTTCGTTTTGAGTCGATGCTCCAGCGCGCGCGGAGCGGTCAAGTCGAGACTTTTCTTCGCGAAACAGGCCACAAGCGACTGCCGTTTACCCTGTGAATATCGCTTCAAAAACATCGCTCGAAAATAGTCTGGACTTGGGCAAGTCGAGACTTTTGATTTTCCTGCCTGAAATGTGCGAGCATATTGGCCATTCGACGGGGCGAAAATCAATCTTGTCGGATGAGAGCTGGTGGCATGATCAGTGTCAAGTCCAGACTTTTCGATTGTGCATCTGATATGGGACACATGTTCGGGGCAAAATAGCCTCCGATGTACGTATTCACACCTTTTGTTGTCAAGTCGAGACTTTCCATTTCGCGAAGCCTGGTGCTATTTGTCATGTACTCCCCTATAAGGCGGCACCTCGGGCTTGAACTCCTCCTAAAATATTTATGGGATTTGACGTGTTTGAACTCGGTCTCGAACTCCATTTGAAATATATATGGATGGTTTTTGAAAAATCCAGGTGCATGCCAGCCGAAGACTTCAACCATGAAGTCCCGGCGAATATTTATGGTTGCGAAAATGGGGTTGAAAAATCCAAGTCTGGAAGGTGCATGCCAGTCAAGACTTTAACCAAGGAGTCCCGGCGAATATTTATGGTTGCGAAAATGGGGTTGAAAAATCCAAGTCTGGAAGGTGCATGCCAGTCAAGACTTTAACCAAGGAGTCCCGGCGAATATTTATGGTTGCGAAAATGGCTTTGAAAAATCCAAGTATGGGAAGAACACGCCAGTCTAGACTTTAACCACGAAGTCCCGGCGAACATTTATAGTTGCGAAAATGGCTTTGAAAAATCCAAGTCTGGGAAGTACACGCCAGTCGAGACCTCAACCAGGAAGTCCCGGCGAATATTTATGGTTGCGAAAATGGCTTTGAAAAATCCAAGTCTGGGAAGTACACGCCAGTCGAGACCTCAACCAGGAAGTCCCGGCGAATATTTATGGTTGCGAAAATGGCTTTGAAGAATCCAAGTCTGGGAAGTACACGCCAGTCGAGACTTCACCAGGAAGTCCCGGCGAATATTTATGGTTGCAAAAAAATGGTTTTGACCAACTCAAGTCTGGGGAAGTACACGCCGGTGACTTCAACCATGAAGTCCCGGCGAATATTTGTGGTTGCGAAAATGGCTTTGAAAAATCCAAGTATGGGAAGTACACGCCAGTCCAGACTTCAATCAAGAAGTCCCGGCGAATATTTATGGTTGCGAAAATGGCTTTGGAAAATCCAAGTCTGGCAAGTACACGCTAGTCAAGACTTCAACCAGGAAGTCCCGGCGAATATTTATGGTTGCGAAAATGGTTTTGAAAAATCCAAGTCTGGAAGGTGCATGCCAGCCGAAGACTTAAACCAAGAAGTCCCGGCGAATATTTATGGTTGCGAAAATGGCTTTGAAAAATCCAAGTCTGGCAAGTACACGCTAGTCCAGACTTCAACCAGGAAGTCCCGGCGAATATTTATGGTTGCGAAAATGGCCTTGAAAAATCCAAGTCTGGCAAGTACACGCTAGTCAAGGCTTCAACCACGAAGTCCCGGCGAATATTTATGGTTGCGAAAATGGTTTTTCTTGAAAGCGCTTGCTCTGACACCATTCCCGCGTTCAATCATTTTCGGCCCAGAACAGTTGACCCTACCCTGACTCCGACCCCGGTTTCATTATTTTCCGGCCCAGAACAGTTGATTCCTATCCTGACTCCTACCTTTACTCCGACCCCGGTTTCAATCATTTTCGGCCCGGAACAGTTGACTCCTGCCCGAACTCCGACCCGGTCCCGTTAACTCTCCTTCGTCGATCACGCACGCACAAAAACTCACCGTCCACCAACCCCCGCGGGCCAGACACACCAAGCCTATGACAACAAAACATAGCTACCGCCCCCCGTCTCCGCCTCTGGCTCCTCTCCTTCCTGCTTTCTGCTCTGCCCAGGGGTGTGGATAGCTCACGTAAAGCCTCCATCTCGGCTCCCGTTGACAACTCTGAATCTGCGCGTTCAGCTGGGCGTTTAGGCGTTCACACGCTCTTCAACTCTCTCCGTCCGCGCCGCCACTTGTCACAACAAATACTCCACCCCTGCCCAAGCTCTTCATCCATCGGCAGCAGCATGGTAGTAGTTCACGAGGGACACGTTGTTGTCCTATGGTACACCTGGGTTTTGAAGTCGACGATGGGGCTGGCGGCGGGGAGACAACAAACTTTCTAGTTGATACATGTACACTCTGTGCCGGGATGAGATTTGTGTGGGTGTCTTGTCATAAATCCCTGTCGGACAAGGTCAATTCTAACCAAGGCCATCGAAGACCAGGCGGATGCTCTTAACCCAAATAATGTGTGTGACCACAACAACTTCAAGACATACCTCGTGCACAGAGCGATTTTGGGCTTCCCTTCGCGCTTTGTTCCTTTGATACAGCTTCAAATTGGCCTCGCCGTTCTTTGTTCATCCCCACTTGTCGCCACTTGTCACAACCCCTTGCCCAGACTCTTCATCCAACGGCAGCCAACGGCTACACCATGGTAGAATTTCACGAGGGACACGTTGCTGTGCTTATCCTTGCTCTTGGCACGATCTATAAGATGGTATCTCTGGTTTTTGAAGTCGAGGACGGGGCTGGCGGTGGGGAGATCACTAATTTTTTAGTTGATATATGTATGCTCTGTGTCGGGATGAGATTTGTGTGGGTGTCGTATCACAAATCCATATCGGAAAAGATTGACCAGCAAACCAAGGATCTTACCAAGGCCATCAAAGATCAAGGCGATGCCCTTACCAAGGCCATCAAAGATCAAGGCGATGCCCTTACCAAGGCCATCAAAGATCAAGGCGATGCCCTTACCAACGCCATCGAAGACTTGGCGGGAAAAGTTGACAGGGTCTGCACCACGGTAGACTCCCTAGAAAACTCGGTGGAGGGGCTGGGGGATAGGGTAAGGAGCGAGCTACGCACTGTAAGCTGCAAGAGGGAGGCCGCCGCGACGTTGGAAGGATCAGGGGTAAAGTAGTGTTTTTCTGCCTGCAAGAGACGGATTATCTCGCTGTTGAGTGTTGACGCCTTCCGCGAGTTGGGCCATTTTTCGACTGTTGACCTCCCACTTTTTCTTGCGGGTGGGACCTGTTTTTCCCCCAAGACAAGACACGTCGTTGTTGACCTCGCTGTTGACCTCTCCATTGACACCCACCGCGGGTGAGCCACCGGTGAGGTCAATGGTCCAACGCGCAAGGAACAAGTGGTCAAACTATCCAACGGTAGGCGGAGTCACAATACTACATTTGGCAGAGTCACGGTGAGAGTGACGGTACGAGTCACGGTAGAAGTGACGGTAAGAGTCACGGTGGGGGTCGCTTTTCTTCCCGTGCCGAAATGATAAATGGTTGGCGATAGGAGTGACGGTAGGAGTCATGGTTCACCGCTAGATGAAGCGTTTTTGGGTTGAACTCGGGCTCGAACTCCCCTTGGTGCGCCCTCCGCTTCCGGGTTGGCACACACGGATCCCACCCCCTACATATGGCTCCGCCGATGACAAAAGCCATAAGTCAAGCGTGACTTCACCGACAAAGTCGATCACACACGGATCTTACACTCCGAAGGATAACTCCTCCCATGAGTGACTTCACTTTGCCCACGAGTTCTTCACCTCTAAAATGGACGACACATTTCGTCATCCTCTGGACGGGCCTAACTTTTTTGGCCAGCCGACATCATTTTCGTTTTCCGAAATTTATTTTTTGTTTTGCGTTTTGAGTCGATGCTCCAGCGCGCGCGGAGCGGTCAAGTCGAGACTTTTCTACGCAAAACAGGCTACACGTGACAGCTATTTACCCTGTGAACATCGCTCCAAAAACATCGCTCGAAAAAGTCTGGACTTGGGCAAGTCGAGACTTTGGATTTTCCTGCTTGAAATGTGCGAGCATGTTGGCCATTCGACGGGGCGAAAATCAATCTTGTCGGATGAGGGCTGGTGGCTAGATCAGTGTCAAGTCCAGACTTTCGATTGTGCATCTGATATGGGACACATGTTCGGGGCAGAAGAGCCTCCGATGTACGTGTTCACACGTTTTTTGTTCAAGTCGAGACTTTCCATTTCGCTTGATCCACGAAAGACCTCGGGCTTGAACTCCCCCTGAAATATTTATCGGTGTATTTTTTCGAACACCCCGGTTGAACTCGGGCTCGAACCCCCCTTGAAGAGTTATGGTTGCGAAAATGGAAAATCCAAGTCTGGGAGGTACACGCCGGTGACTTCAACCGAGAAGTCCCGGCGAATATTTACGGTTGCGAAAATGGTTTTGAAGAATCCAAGTCTGGGAGGTACACACCAGACGTCAACGCGGAGTTCCCGGCGAATATTTATGGTTGCGAAAATGGCTTTGGAAAATCCAAGTCTGGGAGGTACACACCAGACTTCAACGCGGAAGTCCCGGCGAATATTTATGGTTGCGAAAATGGCTTTGGAAAATCCAAGTCTGGGAGGTACACACCAGACTTCAACGCGGAAGTCCCGGCGAATATTTATGGTTGCGAAAATGGCTTTGGAAAATCCAAGTCTGGGAGGTACACACCAGACTTCAACGCGGAAGTCCCGGCGAATATTTATGGTTGCGAAAATGGCTTTGGAAAATCCAAGTCTGGGAGGTACACACCAGACTTCAACGCGGAAGTCCCGGCGAATATTTATGGTTGCGAAAATGGCTTTGGAAAATCCAAGTCTGGCAAGTACAGGCCGGTGACTCCAATCAAAAAGTCCCGGCGAATATTCATGGTTGCGAAAATGGTGTTGGAAAATCCAAGTCCGGGAATCATACGCCGGTCAAGACTTCAACCAGGAAGTCCCGGCGAATATTTATGGTTGCGAATGTGAATGCCACCTCAGACTGTCGTAGATTGTGACGTCAGATGACCTGTCGGAGATCTACCTTCGGGGTGTTACCACAGATAGAGTCAGTGCAGGTTGGATGCTGAACCTTGCTTCAACACAAGGTTGATCCCCACCTGCCTCACTCACACAGACTCGACTCAACGTTCCGTACATCAGCCTCTCCACCAGAGGTTGATCCGGTGTGTATCCACACCGCCCATCCCTAAGGGAACTTGCTCACACGCGAACCTGGAGACAACAGTCTCATAGTGGCGTCAGCGGCGTTACGTGTGTTTGTTGAGTTCTTTGTTCGGTGGTGGCACTACCTTGCAGCAGTTGCCATCATGGGGAACAAGAAAAAATCGAGAAAAATACAAGAGGTCCACTTCCAGGAAGAGGAGGGGGACCAACAGCAGCTCGTCGACTTCGAGCCCGAAGGGGAGGACGAAGAACAACACGTCCTACCGTCCCCCACCGGCCTGTCGTCGCCGTCTCCATCGTCGTCGTCGTCCTCTTTGTCGGAAGACGAAGGGAATCGGTCGCACCGTTCATCGGATGACGATGATGGTGTGGACCGGTTATCGTCCTTGCAGTTGCTGGAGGCAACGTGCAAGGAGGAGGTGAAAGCGTACCTCCGAGCGTTGCGGCGTAGGCAGACTCCTCCGGAGCTCTCGCCAGCTACCGTCGCGTGGCAGCAGCGTCTCCTAACGGAGTCGGTGCCTGCTTCATCGTCTGTCGCAACAGCGTCAGCTACGTCGTCTCGTGGAGCCTCGTCTCGTGGAGCGAGTGCAACTTCAACTCCAGCGGTAAGTTCAAGCGTTCCGTTTTTAGCTCCGTCGTTGCCCAGGCTGACACCGTTGTCCCCTGGAGCACCATCGTTCGTTCCGTCCGCGCAGGCAACGAGTGGATCAAATCCCTCGCCGAGTCCGTCGCTCACTGCGCCCGTCAACACGTCTACTTCGGTGTCGTGTACGTCTAGTAGTGCAACTACAGCTAGTTCAACATTGCAAGTTGCACCTACTAGTGCGCAATCGTCCATCGTAGCGTCACCTGTTACTTCAACAGCACAGGTTGCATCTATGAATGCGCAATCGTCCGTCGTCACACCACCTGTTACTTCAATGTCACAGGTGGCATCGACTGCTGTAGCGACCGAATCCCCCGTTCGTACGTTTCTACAAGCAGCTACCGTTTCAATATCCGCGGCTGACCTCCGCAGCGTTCCCAAGCTGACTGGAGACCGTACAGAAAACGTGATCGAAATCTTGAAACATTTTCGTACGGTGGTTGGGCTGAAAGCCGCAGCCGTCAACACGGATTCGTCGTTTGCTGATGGGGTTGCACTCAAGCACGTTGCCCTGGTGGGAACAGGAGAAGTGTTGACCCTGATACAGCAGATCTTGTCTGGACAGATAGACTGTTCTAAGGCAAGCACGTTCACAGAACCGGAGGAAAAAGGGTCGTTTCCCCCTCCGACCACGTGGGATGCCATGTGTTCTGTTTTGCTTGATTCACTTCTTCCCGCAAATTCCGTGGAGGAGGAGGCACACAATCTCGCAACGTTCGTTCAAGGGCCACAGGAATCTGTTTCCTCGTATGCTCTCCGTTTCCGTACTGTCATGGCACGGTTCCAAGCTGCCGTCGAGCGTGATGGTAGTCGTACCGCTTGGAATTGCATGACAGAGTAGCTCTGTGGCAAAATGGGTTGACCCATCGTTATCGTTTGCTCTTTTAGAGCCAATACCGTCTCCGTCCCTAAAACTCAGTGCCGCAAATGGTGCACCAGTCAAAGTTTTAGGATTTATTTCGTTCGTTGTTCGGTTGGGAGACGTGTCCCGCCGAATCGATGCGTTGGTCGTACCATCGCTCGGTCCTGATCAAATACTCCTAGACAATGAGGCAATGACTCGGTTTGGGGCAGTACTTGACTGGAAAAATGAACGTTTGACTTTTGAGTGTAGTGACACTATTGTCCCCGCTATTCATCGTAAAAAATCTCAACACGGTTATGATCCGTCGCCGTCCCCCCGTGTTGCAGCCGTTCATCGAAATGCGGAAGAACACTCAGTCAAATTACGTCAACGTTATAATATTCGCCCTCGTCATGCGATGATCGTAAAAGCATTTACTGAATGCATACCGTCCGTTGATACCGCCGTAGTAGTCGAGCCGCGTATTTTGTCGGCAGATGAACTTTCGTTCGATACTGTTCCGCCCGAATTTGAGCGTTTAATCGTGGCTCGTACCGTCTCAACATGGAGTGCTGTTGATGGTTCGGTAGTTGTCCAAATTGCGAATCCATCAGCTGAGTATCTCGCCGTACATGTTGGATTGGATATTGGAACTTTATCGCCGATTACTATGGTAGCACAGGAACAGCTTCACGTCCATGCTGTTGCCTTGTCTCCAAAAACCGCGAGTGAAATTGCTGCTGCTAAAGCTGAGCTGGTAGAACCGCTGTCGAAAGCGTTCGCAAATTCCACGTTCACTAAGGAACAGCAGACTCGTATTTTGGACCTGTGCGCAAAATATCGTCCCGTTTTTTCGCTGAATCGTAAGGAGCTTGGTAAATGCACAACTGCTCAAGCCACGTTTCCTATGCCGCCTAACACAAAACCGGTTAACCGTCGTCCCTACCGCGCAAACCCGCACACTGAAGCCGTTATCCAAACGTGCGTTAAGGACATGCTTGACGATGACATCATCGAAGAGCTGCCTAGTCAGTGGGGTTCCCCCGTTACTCTCGTCGCGCGTAAAGATGGTAAACCTCGTTTTTGCGTCGATTTCCGAAGCACCGTCAACAAGCACCTCATTCGCAAGACCTGGCCTCTAGCGAACATGGAGTCCAACCTTGACTCTGTCGGCAGCGCCAAGTTCATCAGCGTTGCAGACGTCCAGTCAGCGTACTGGCAGATTCCTGTTCATCCTGACCACGTCGAAAGGACAGCCTTTGTCACCAACTCTGGCAAGTACTGTTACAAGCGGATGCCGTTTGGTGTTTGTAATGCCCCATGGATTTTTACTGAGATGGCCCATAAAACGTTAGGTCATATTCCCGAACTGTTGATTTACATGGATGATTTCTGTGTGCTTTCAGCAACTTTCGAGAATCATATGAAGTCTTTGGAGAGCATGTTCGTAGCTCTCCAAGCAGCAGGTCTGACATTGAAACCTTCGAAGATTTCGTTTGGCCCCAAGTCCATCGAGTATTTGGGACATATTATTTCGGCTGAAGGTATTTCTGTCGGGAAGGATCGTATCAAAGCCGTCCAAAACCTTCCTACTCCTCGTTGCCTGAAAGATCTTCGCTCAGTACTCGGGGTGGTTAATTTTGTGCGCCGGTTCATACCGGATTATGCAGAAATAACCAATCCGTTGGTGGAGTTAACTCGCAAAGAGTACGCCACAAAATCACGTTTCGTAAAAGCTTGGAACAAATCGCACGACGCATCGTTCGCTCATCTAAAGCGGTTATTAACTTCAGCGCCCGTTCTACACTTCCCAGACTTCGATCGGGAATTCGTAGTTCATGTGGATGCATCCGAACATGGGTGTGGCGCGTTTCTTGCCCAGCCGTCCAAGGCTGATCCAGAATCTCTTGACATGATTGCGTATTATAGTCATAGATTCAAACATGGACAGCGTCATTACTCTGCGTCTATGAAAGAGTGTTGCGGTGTGGTTCTTGCAATTTCGCATTGGCGACCGTACTTATTTGGGAAACACTTTACGGTGATCACGGATCATCAAGCGTTGACTCATCTTTTTTATATGCAAGACACCAGCAACATGCTCACTCGTTGGGCTATCGCTCTTCAAAATTATGATTTTACCGTCAAACACGTAGCGGGAAAATTGAACGTCGTACCCGATACGTTATCTCGTTTATTTGGCGAAATTGAGTCCGAAACCATATCACACAAACCGGCCCTAGCGTCGATTTGTAGGAATGTGCCGAGTGATCGTCCGTACCATCCTCCTGGCCCTCGTGACTACGAAATTTCTGCCGATTCGTTGAACGATGTTGATATCGTCCATAATGACAACGAACTGTTTGCTAGTGCTGTATCGTTATTTCCTGTACTGGATCCCGCTAAATTGCGAAGAGAACAGTACAAAGAGTTCGGTCCGTATATCGACTACGTCAAGAAACCCAAAACAGCACCGTTACCGTCTAGCGAAAATAAAGGCACCATGAGTAATTACTTCTTGAATGAGAACGTTTTATTCAGGTCGTACTTACCAGGGTATCTTCGTAAACGCAGTTCGTTTCGTGATCAACTTGTCGTTCCTACCGTTTTGCGTGCGTTAGTCTTGGATTCTTGTCATGATGCTCCTGCGTCAGGGGGTCATCTAGCGTTCAAAGCCACGTACGATAGACTCAGAGATCGTTTTTGGTGGCCGACCATGTCTAGAGATGCGTCCAAACACATCCAGCATTGTTTGTCGTGCCAACACCGAAAAACGTCCCACAGACGACCGTTATTACCTGTGGGTCACCGTCCCGTTACTCGTCCGTTTCAGTGTGTCGCGATCGATCTCGTTGAATATAACTCCGTATCGCAGGGTTGCAAGTACGTCTTGTCGGTCATCGATCACCTGACTCGTTTTCTCGTGTTGATTGCTATTCGTGATAAAAAAGCAACAACAATTGCACAGGCTCTCGTAGAGCGTGTCTTTTCCGTTTTTTCTCCCCCTGAAACGTTACACAGTGATCAGGGCACTGAGTTCGAGAATGAGTTGGTTAAAGAGTTGCAGGCCGTGTTTGGTTTCAAAAAAACTCGGACGTCCGCGTATCGGCCGCAAGGTAACTCTGTATTAGAGCGCGTGCACAGCACAATGCATGGCATGCTCGCAATGTATGCAAACGTTCGGTTTGATAATTGGGCTGAGCTTTTACCGTTTGTGCAACTCGCCCATAACACCGCGTACAACCAAACTCTTGAGGAAACTCCTCACTATCTGATGTTTGGTCGCCAGGCTTTGCTTCCCGTGGATGTCATTCTTGGTGTACCGTCTCATGATAGCTCTGCTTCGCGTATGGAATATTCACGTCGTACCGTGGATAACTTGCAACTCGCGTATGAGATCGCTCGTCGTAATTTGAAAGAGCGAACTGACAAGCAAGCAGACTCGAACGAAAATTTATCCGTACCGCAGTTTACTCCTGGGGAACAAGTTCTCGTACATCGTCCCCACACCGTTATGGATGGCCCCAATCCCAAGCTGATCAGCCCTTGGCATGGCCCATTCACCGTTCGTTCAAAAGTATCACCCGTCATCTATCGTGTTTGCAAAGACGGAGAACTCGCGGAAACGTCAGTACACTTGGGTCGTATGAAAAAGTACTATGCTTTTCAACGTGATTCTGTCCCCGATTTTTCTGAATTGGATGAGATGTTTTTGGGACAAACCCTTCCAATTCCCGATTTGGATGGTACCGTGTTTACCGTAAAAATTGGACCGTACGTCGTCGAGGGGATAGACAAATTTAAACGTGGAGCAGGAAAACCGTCTCTCCATAACTTCCAATATTATTTCCTCCTCAAAGACCGTCCTGAAAGTCTTGGGTGTTGGAAGCACTTCAAAGAAGTACCCCAGTGTCACGAGATGATCCGTTCATATCGAGCGTGCGTTCTTCGTGATAATCCGCACGCCTTTGATCATCTTCCTAGAAAGTAGCACTCGTAGCTGCTTCGTATCGTGTTTCGTGCTGCGTTTGCCTTATTCGTTTCGTGTTTCGTTTATTTTACAAGGGCTATGTTTATTTTTTATATTTTCGTATGTACATACTTCGTATATTTTATTGTTCGTCGTCCAGCACGATCGTTTCGTAGTGCCCGCCGTCCCCAACGTTCCTTCGCAGTCCGGCCGGACATTGACGTTGTTGGTGGATACGCCCACGTTGGATGCAACACCTCGTGGAAGTCGGCAGGCGGAGCCTAGTTTGCGTCGAGATTCGCCCTCCGCGAACCAAGCATGGTTGCGTGTCTTCGTTTCGTCGGACATGCATGCTAGCGCACGTCATTTTTAAGGCATGGCGTTGCCCGTTCGTTGTGTGATTAGATTTTACTATATGTATTTCTCTGTTTGAATGCCGTACGACATAGTACCTCGTGCGAGCTCCGTAAACGTTTTCAATTATGATTGGAACGTACGTCCGTTATAGACAATCGTGCGTGGTGTGAAGCGTCCATTGCCGTTGTGTCGCTGTCCTTGAGATACGAGTGCGTCGTATGGGGTCAGTTGATGCTTTATGTGAGCGAATATGCGTGATCGGAAGTTCGTCGTTTTCTCGTCCACTCCGTCCTGAATTGGGGGGTGATATCGTCTCACTTGCAGTTTGGGGGAATTGCAATTGATAATCGACTTCCGGATCCATGCACTTTTGCATTGTTCACACGGTTTTGTTCATGCCCGATTTGTCTTGTCGTTTGTGTGGTGGATTTTTATCCCACACATCGTTTCTCGCGTGTCGTCCATCGCGAAAGAGTAGATGGTGGTCTTGGCCGTGCAAGAGGAAGCACAAGAGGACCAGACTTTCGTTCCACTACTGCGTCAAATCCATGCTACAGCACATCGTTGGCTGTACTCGTAATCACCATTCGTCGTCGTTCGTCTATGCAGCACCTCTCAATTGCGCAATCGCATGAGAAGGTCGTATCGTTAGCTCTCCACGAGCTGTGCACATATGTTCGTTCGTTGTTGCCGCTGCATATCGTTTGAGCAACGTTTTCCCAGCGGGTCGACCCACGTCATTTGCCATTCGACACTTGTGAAATTTAAGCCTTGCAAGCAACCGTCTTTCACATGTGCAATGTCAAATTATTTTTCGTTGCTGGATGTTCGTTACGTGCAACTACCAAGCAGTTCACGGCGTTGTCTCAAGGTACTACTGTACAGTTTTTTTTACACTATCGGTGCAAGACGCGCACCGGAGTGATGTTTTTTTCTGTACACACGTCGTTCGTCGTACGGTAGATCACATGTTGCCTACAGCGCCGAGGCGGACTGAAGTGACATGTTCCGTACACCTTTCGTCATCTGTGTAGTTATTCGTTCGTCGTACGGGAATAGTTGCCAAAATTCCTGAATTTCTCTCGTGCAAGCTGTGGTGGTGACTGCGCTATGTACGATCGATGCTCGGATGAGATATTTTGGTGACACGTTCCAAATTTCATAACTACAAAACACAAAGCGTTCGTTGAATGATGGCAGTCGCCGTACGTTTCGGCCCAAGTCATTTAACTCATGTTTTTCATCAGTACTTCACAATTTCATACAATCTAAGGTATTTATGTCATTCTTGTATCTTTCAATCCGGATTCAGGCCCCGAGATTGAAGATAGGGGGGTGATGTGAATGCCACCTCAGACTGTCGTAGATTGTGACGTCAGATGACCTGTCGGAGATCTACCTTCGGGGTGTTACCACAGATAGAGTCAGTGCAGGTTGGATGCTGAACCTTGCTTCAACACAAGGTTGATCCCCACCTGCCTCACTCACACAGACTCGACTCAACGTTCCGTACATCAGCCTCTCCACCAGGTTGATCCGGTGTGTATCCACACCGCCCATCCCTAAGGGAACTTGCTCACACGCGAACCTGGAGACAACAGTCTCATACGAAAATGGATTTGAAAAATCCAAGTCTGGCAAGTACACGCCCGTCGAGACTTCAACCAGGAAGTCCCTGCGAATGTTTATGGTTGCGAAAATGGCTTTGGAAAATCCAAGTCTGGCAAGTACACGCCAGTCCACTGGACTGGAGCTACAGCAGTACACCAGATACAGTGTGCGTTACACGCTGTGCTCTGCTTACGCGGTCTGTGGTTGACGAGTACACGTCATCACGTCATGTGCGTCAGCTGGTCTGGGTTTTTTACACAAGCCCGCAGACTCAGGACGACACGTCACCTCTACGTAGCACCTACGTACCACATCCCTGATTCCCCTCAAAAGACTACATCGAAACGACCATCCTGATGGCGCGTTCCACCAGGTCCCTGTCCCTGGTGAAGTACATGTTTTCTTTGAACGGACGCCCCTGGTACACAGTGTTTTTTCTCTTGGGGATATTGTTGGCGGCGTTCTGCCCGTACCGTTCAGCGTACAGAGCCTTAATATTTTTCCCAACAAGTCCTCCGCGACCGCCAACACTAACCCCCATCTCCGTTGCGATCATGGCAATGCTGACTTCCGCCCCGCGGACGTCGCGAGAGCAGTTGGGTGTAGGGGTACCGTGGCCTGGGTCTACAGCAGTAGCCACCACCACAGCGTTCTCCGCCGGAGTAGAGCTTGAAGTGATAGCGCGAACATCACGAACAGGCATGGCAGATTCTTCTCCTCCGCGAAAATAGCGTTTCTGTACGTCCGAAAGCCTGTCGGAGAGCTCGATCTTCTGGCGGGGCTCAAGCGGTTGAATCTTCTCGAAGGCTTCCTTGAGAGACATGACCAGGGAAATCTCGCTTTTAACAATTGCTTGTTGTATGTTGACCATTTCTTGCTGTAGACCAGCCTTGATGTACTTCTCGTACTGCTCCTCGGTGGCAAACTCCATGATTTCTGGACCAACCCGAGTCCTCTTCGCCGGCTGCTCTTCAGTTCCATTCTCACCCGACATGAAAGCCTGGTTGGACCTCCCCTCCGAGGTACTCCCGAGGCGAGCGCACCGCTGTTCAATTTCGCCGCACAGACTCACGTCTCCTCCCAGCACGCGCGTGATTACTTCGGCACTCTGGCGGCGGAACGACCGGGCCGCGCTGGTAGGCAGCAGCCACATGATTTCAACGATGGTCTTGGCGTCGCTTACCGGGGTAGTCCTCCCTTTTCCGTTGATCTGGATGTAGTGCACATGATCGGCGAGTGGGTTTGGGGTCCGGACAATTGTCCCCTTTGCTCAAGTTCGGTCACTTCATCCTTTTCCAGGAGGCGACTTAGCATTTTCCTGGCATTGTCGAGCGACACCCCCGGTGACAGTAGTCGAATGACGTCCATGACGGACGCTTTGCCGGATGCCTCGTCAATCCTCACGGATCCGTCGATGTTGAGGGTGCGAAAGGCTTTCTTCAGGGTAGACCCTTTGGTTTCCGCGACTTCTTGTTCGACTTCAGCGGCTTCAGCGGCCTGCGCGACTCCCTCAACCACGTTGTCCTCGACTCCTTGAACATGCGTCGCTGCAACATGCTGAGTCAGGGACTCTTTGAAGGAGTTCCCTTGGGTGCTCCTCCACATCACCCACCGCGGACCGGGCATGTTGTCGAGAATGTATTTACACGTGTCCAACGATGCCATGGTTGTCGTTCTCCCTTTCACCATTTTCGGGGTCAGACCAGGTCCGTCAAAATTCTTCATCGCCGATCTAACCGAACAAAGGACGGATCCGGAGTGCAGCTCGGGCTTTGCAGCCTTTATCATGGAGCTAACTCCGACGTCACCGGCGGCGTCCACAACAATGTTGTCCATTCTCTGTTGATTGGTTCCAAGCCTAGTGCTGCTGGATAAGCACGGCTGACCAGGTTGACAGGGATGAAGAGATGGTAAAGTCGTTTATTAGGTTGCCCTCGTAGACAAGCAACAGGAGAGAGTGGGCGCCGCGTGCGCCGCAAAGCATCAAGCAACAGCCGCAAGAAATTCAACGACGAAAAGACGCGCAGACTTTCTGCAACACGGAACAATTCCAACTACCAAAGACATGTCGGGAGATACCCCGAAGATCCACGCCCGTGGAACGGTCACTTGCACACGTTTCGCTCTCAAACCATACAACATGAGTACTACCGAGTAGTCTAGTGTTCGAAAGGATGACATAATCCACCTCACGGACACCCTCCCTGATTCTGTACATCGTCACGAATGCTCGCAAAATCGAGATATTCAGGGTACTCATAGAAAAGAAAAAATAAACGAAGGGAAACCCGGCCACCGGATCAAAACCCTCCGCCTCCAAGGTCGTCCTGCTGAATGACATGTCAACACAAAATCAACACAGCAGTCACCAAATTGCAAACCTCCGCGTTTACAAATGATATCAGACATTTGCTACTCCTTATCAAGTAGCCCCCTCCCAGCAACGAGATCCTTCCTGTATCAAGTTGCTGTAAGCGCCGGGGCGCGTCTACAGCCCCAGGCACCAAGGCCAAAAAGCAGCGGAAAAACGAAAAATTTGACGCTACATCGCTTATCACAGCGGAAAAAACGACAAAATCTGACGCTACATCGCTCCCAACTGACTTCTAGAAAAGGGCAGTCTACCAAATCGCAGGGAGAGGTGCCCCCCTCAAAACCTGTACATCAGAGGTAGACCAAGCAGCACTCAACCTCAAACAGTTACATCGCTACGGGAGACACTGGTTATAGACATATTCACCACTCCTTTTCAAGCAGTCCCCTCCCAGCAACAGGATCCCTACTGTATCAAGTTGCCGCCAGCACCGGGGCTCGTCTACAACCCCGAGCACCGTTGTCGATCAATAACAGAAAAGCGAAAAACCAACGCTACATTGTTCTCAGCGGAAGGACATTAAAGAGGGCAATCAATCACATCGCAGGGAAGGGTGCCCCCCTCGACCTGTGCATCAGTGAAAGATCAAGCAGTATCTCGACCAATAACAGCTCATCAACCCACTTGTTGGTACTGCTACAATGGGAGACACTGGTAGCCATCCATCACAAAAAGAAAAAGGGGCGCAGCTTCCTACGTCAACCCTCCCTGACTTCAGAGCAAATATCTCAGCCTAAAACTGCTGTATAGGCTGAAAAAAATAATTCCGACATTATCGATCAATTCAGTGTGACCGCGGTGCCTCGCGGGTCATCCATACCAAAATGAGACAACAGAATGCCACACCACCATCAATATTCATCATGCAAGGACGCCTCATGCATCTACCTGTACGACGAGTTACTAAGATGAGCATGGGCGACCAGACAAGCAACGTCGAGTTTCGTAGGCTGCCTGCGTAACAGCTACAACCACAAGGGGGCAGCAAGCAAATCAGGAAAAAACAAGACACACACACGCCCGGAGAAAAAGATGACGTCCAACAATTTATAACAACAGTTGCATCGTCGGGCATTCGGAGGCAGCTTTCCAGAAAAAAAAAACCGATCGCACACGGGGGAAGAGACAGATTTGATGGACAGCATAGCAACACGCCGGAATATTCAAAGCGCTTTGTACGCGACGTCCGACTCTTCTACTTCCATCGCGGCCACGGCAACTTCACTCCCCACTTTCGATGCGCATATTTTCACATGGTGCCCTCTTCCTCCGCACCTCTGGCACACCTGTTGAGGGCACTCGTGGGCATAGTGGTGTGCGGAGCAGATGTGGCAGCGGACAGACTTTTTTTCGGCGTCACCATCACTCGCTACGCATGCCTGTTCATCCCCTCCGTTTTTCTTCCTTGACCGTCGCCTCCTCCTAGACCCCTCCCCGACTGCTACGAACGCATGTTGCACTCGCCCGTCAACCTTCCCCTTTGACCTCCATGTCTCGGCTATCGTTGAGAGCATGCATCATTCCGCACGTTTGCACCTGCGTCGTGAAGTCGTTCTTGAACATTAGCCAGTTCTTTTCTTGGCCATCGAAGCTTAGCTGCTTGAGGCGCGGGATCCGGGCATTCATGATTGGGTCGTACCGTGCCAGCGGGTCACTGGTTGAGCTATCGTGCGAGAAGTCCCCCACAGACGGCAGCGTGGGTCCTTGCGGGGCTGTGTCCGGCAGTCCTCGTGCTCCCTCGAGCCCCTGTCCGGTGGTCGGCGCTTGATCCACACGACCAGCGCCGGGAGGGGCGTGCCTTCCCCCCCGTGACTCTCCCCCGCCGCCCGCTCCGGTCGTACTTCCGGCGGGCGGTGTCTCGGGCACTAACCGAGACAGGGCTTCCATGACGGTCCCTAACTTCTCGGTCATGATACTCTCCATTCTGGCGGTGGCCTCGTCGACGGCAGTCCTGAGCTCCTCGTGAGTCGGGGCTGCCTTGCCCTTGCCAGCATCTCCAGATCCAGCCGACATGTGTCCGCTTCACCAGGGGAATAGACTATGGGGTTAACCTTCACTCTACAGTGTTGATTGGTTCCAAGCCTAGTGCTGCTGGATAAGCACGGCTGACCAGGTTGACAGGGATGAAGAGATGGTAAAGTCGTTTATTAGGTTGCCCTCGTAGACAAGCAACAGGAGAGAGTGGGCGCCGCGTGCGCCGCAAAGCATCAAGCAACAGCCGCAAGAAATTCACCGACGAAAAGACGCGCAGACTTTCTGCAACACGGAACAATTCCAACTACCAAAGACATGTCGGGAGATACCCCGAAGATCCACGCCCGTGGAACGGTCACTTGCACACGTTTCGCTCTCAAAACATACATGAGTACTACCGCAGTAGTGTTCGAAAGGATGACATAATCCACCTCACGGACATTCTCTTGATATATTTTTCAGAAAATACTTTTTTGAATCGGGTCCAAACGAAGTTGTGAATTCAAACCCTACCTCACACATCCCGAAAGAGAACGTCTACATTAGGTCCAAGCAATAAATTTATTCGAGCGAAGCGAGATTTCTAATCTTGCCTGAGAGGGCTCAGCGCAATATAGGGGCCGATGCAGGAAAAAAAGTGCGTGCGTGTGTTGTGTTCGCTTAAACTAGGTTTTAGAGTACAGGACTTGATTTGTGACTACAGGGCGCACTTTTTTTTTTTACACAGCAGAGCAGCAAACAGCAACAGCAGACAACACGCGCTCAGCGAGCAGACTGAACACACACGCACAGCAGACAACACGCGCTCAGCGGGCACAGCGACACACCAACAGCGCAGAGCGGACACAGCCACAGCGGCCTGCATGGCATGGCAATTGCATGATGAGTAGACGTCCGTTGGGGCCGATTGACCCGAACTCCCTCCGTGAGGCAGAGACGCACACAGACTCGCGGCGCAGACAAAGCCACGGGGAGAGGGAGCCCCTAGGCAGCCCACAGCTTGACCGGGCGAGAGCTGCTGCTCGTCAGAGGACTGCCGCCAGGCGTGCGGCGGAGACCGATGGAGCACGGGCAGAAAGGTGCGTTGCGTGTGCGTGCGTCTGGGCGGCGATTGCCGGAGAGG